GTGTGTGTGTGTGTGCGTGCGCGTATGTGTGTAAGGGGAGTACGTACAGAATCGTAGAAATCTCTTTCGAGTAAAACTTTCACCCTCCTTTAGTCAGACTTTCTAGAGTTGGTCGCGAATAACTGGTAATTCGCCATATCTATCGCACAGATCGAGTTCATTATTTACATCGTCTAGGTCGAAATCCCTGAATAAATATTTTTTTATTGTCATTGTTTCATTGTCTCGTGTAAAGTAGGCTGCACAGTTAGAAAGAAATAGTCATCTTATTTACTTCCGACAATGTAGAACGATTACGAGTTTCAGACGAGCAAAAAATACCAAACAAGTAAAAAACAAATGAAATGTAATACACTTCCAATTACATGTTATTTTATCAATACTAAAAATTATCTTAATACTCCAAATGAATGATACTGGATCATAAACCTGTTATACGCATAGACGACAATTCAAACAAGAGATCATATTAAATTAACTTTAATGAAAATAAAAGTCGATGACACATTTAACAAAATCTAGAAGATTAATTTACATGGAATATTATACATGCAAGCAATATACTTAATTCGATTGTTCCGCGCTTGATTCATACATTAAGAACCTCGATATATTTTCTAGATCCAATGAGTGTGAGAAAAGCGTTCGTTTACTAGTTCGAGTTAATTATAGTTATGTACAATCTATAATCGAATATCTTAAGATACAAATCCAAAAATCAACAAATTCTGTAAATTAAACTCTTACTTATGTTGCATTATAAAAAATTAGAAAATGATACACTTATTCATAAAAATCACGAATCTAATTTTTTGTGAATCCACATTAAAAAGATAATGCTTTACCACGCTTACAACCCTCTATTAAATAAATAATTTTTTTCCAGAAAAATGAAAACTATATACTAAAAGTTATTATCATTGAAGTACTCTCCAATAGTCATAATAATTAAATTTTATTTTTAATTTGACTTATCGCTTGATGTTGCACAATCATTGGACAGCAATCATCTTTCAACATCCTTAAATATCTGATATTTTCAACCATGGATAGATTTATTAATTTTGCCTTGAGTAACTATGGAGATAGAATAAATGAAACCCTGATTACCTGAAAATCTGGACTTTTAAATACTCTATCAGAAAGATGCGGAGTTATGGCTCATCAAGGATTTAAATAAATTTAGATTTCTCTCAATCAGAAAAAATGTTTACATATTCGTTCACCTTTTTCTTCTAATGTGAAGCCCTCTGAAGTTCTAAAAACTAAATGTATTGCGAATTTATGGTATATGTTACAGTCAAAATGTCTCAGTAAATGTATACACTTACTGTAGTCTACTGCAGTCAATATATACATTTACTATACGTAAATATATGCATTTTTTGTTACTAATAAGGATATACATTTATAAAAGTTAACACTTTGACTATGACATATATACACATTGAACGTGTAATTAGACGATTAAGAGAAACTCTGAAACCGCACGCATTCACTTTATTTACTATCCCATTTAGATTCGTCAATGACGATTGCATCGACATTAATTAATTAAAAAACCGAGTAAACAAGAGCAATTAGGAATCGGCGCTGTAATTGGTGCGCTTAAACTAACAGATCTTGGTGTCTAAAAATGTATATTTTTATGACCAAGGTCTGTTAGTTATTTAAGCGCACCAATTACAGCGCCAATTCCTAATTGCTTTTATTTACTCGCTAGTGAATATACAGGGTATTTGATAAGTAACGATAAAACTCTTGCATAGGGGAGCGAACTAAACTGAATCGAAAAGTTCTCTATCATTTTATAATTTTCGCAATAATTAACAAGATGTTAATTATTAAAATAATTATAAAAATCACCGAATATTGGTTTTCAATAATTTTTTACCTACTATCAACTTTACAGAAAATGACAAAAATTATTTATTTTCTTCTCATAAAGTTCTGAGAATTTGTTTAGAATTTTTTAGTACCGCATTTTCTTATGTTGGTAAAAATAATTGCCAATAAGAAAATGCAGTACTAAAAAGTTGACAAAAAATTCTGAAAAAATTCTTAGAGCTCTATGAGAAAAAAATAAACAATTTTGAGTTTATCATAATCTTCCTAAACAATGATTATACTGTCTTGAAACCTTGAACTTTGGATCAGCGATGCAAAAAAGGCCTCTCCTTTTACTAGTAAACATTTGCATATTCATCTAGATAGCAAAATGCTAACAGTACGCCAGGAGTATGTCAGCAAACTCGATTATGACTATCAAATCATGATCATTTGCTTTGAATCACCTGCATCAAATTATCTTCGTTAATAAATTGGTGTAAAATAAATAATATTTCTTGATACTTCTAATTGAGTCATGATACTCGATTATGACTCTATCAGAGGTATCGAGAAGCATTTGATTCTTATTTATACCAATTTATCATCGAAGATCTGTTAACATGATGTCTAGGTGAACATATCCAGAACGTGAACGAAAGTTTTAACTCAACCATATGGAGATTGGCGCCAAAAGTACTTCAATTGCGATGTAAAAATACTAAAAATTGGCGCTTTCGTTACAAACAGCAATTTTTAACGAGGAATTTCTGCCATTTTATAAAATATGAATGAAAATTATAATTTAAAATCATGATTGGAAATTAATATTATGAGTCGGAATATGCACGCAAATATATATAACACACAACGAATCCCCAGGCAAGAGCACCGATAACTGAGTAATACGAGGAGGCCCGAGACTCTCGTAGACTGGCCCAAATTGCTCGGAATGAATTTAATAAAGAAGATGAAGGGCTACCGTATGCCTAGAACAGCAGATTAGACTCCGACCACTATAAGTACAGAACTACATTTTTTAACGAAAACATTAAACGCACTTTTTTCTTAAATCTGTTTTTTGCATTTTCTGCAATTTTATGTACATGAAAAAATTATTTGATCAACTAACTTTTCATAAAGCTCTTTATTTAGATACGAACTAACTCTCCCCAATGAATTTAAAAAGTTAAAAAAAATTAATATTAACAATTTCTTTTTTGCATAAAGAAATGAACGCTACTTAGTAAAAATCGTAACTTGCTTTCAAAAACGCATAAAATTTTAATTTTTATATATTATTTTAATTTTATAGGAACATTTAGGGATGAACTTTTTCTTTTTTTTACTTCAGGCAAGAATTAAAGTCCCGACGGTATACACAAAATAGTAACTCCGATGACGAGACAAAATCATAATAGTACATTTTTGTATACAGAAAATTTGAATATACTCTTCAATAGCTGCATTAAAACGTGTAAACATTTTTTAAACGATGTATTCTTCTTTAAAAAAAATGACAAAAAATCACCTTTTTTCGGTCTTTTAAAGTAGATTCTCCCTACAAAGGAAGTGGAAAGGTTTGAAAATTGTGTCAAATTCATGTCATTTGTAGGCAATTGAATAAACATGAATTTTTATTTTAGCACGTTTTTAATACTTTCTTAACAAATAAAATCGGCCGTAAAAATCCACAAAATATAAATAATTGAGGGCAATATTGATAATGAAAGACAATCGCGCGATTTGTGTTTTGCTCCGTTCTTGCCATGATTTCGAATAAACAAGTGGGAATTTTCTAATTTTCTTGGTGCCAGTTTATTGGTGAGATTCTCGTTTATAGATTGAACCTAAAATCTGAAAAAAAAAACATGAAGATTACGAAAATGACAGTGCAAAATAAAAAAATGTCGAAATATTGAAATTATTTGTTAAAACGGATTTAAAAAATAAATTTTCGTACGCAAAAGTAACTTAAGTTTATGGAAAAATTTGTTATCTTTATTTTAAAAAAAGTTGAAGTTGATATCTGCAACCATTTTTGAATTATCATGGCAAGAACAACGCAGTACACAACTAATTATCAATATTCACTCTCAATTATTCATAAACAAATATATAAAATGAAACTTGAAAGACTCTATCAGTGAAAAATATAAAAAAGTCCATCAGACCCTACATCGGCTTCGACCCTACATTCGGTTCGGATGCACAGAAAACTCTTTATTTTCGTGTGAATGTAATAAAACGAATAAATTAAACGTTTTGATCCTTACAATTCCGATCTTTATCAATA